CGCTCGAACCCTGTCTTTCTTCAACTTTCAATTTCATGCATATCACCCGTGCGCACTCGATTCACGCGCACCCTTCTAACACAATTTCCTTTCCTTTTTCGCTATATATTTATTTTATTAAATTGGAATAATATTTTAATATATTAAATTATAATATATTATATTATAATAATTTTATTTATATTATATTATAATAATTTTATATTATAATAATTTTATTTATTAAATTTTATTACGTTTATTTTAAAAAATTCATTAATTAACGTCTTCAAAGATATCCAATATTTTTATTTTCAATTTATATGTACGTTTTTATTCATTTTAAAAAATTTGTTAATTAACATTTTCAAAGATATCCAATATTTTTATTTTTAATTTATACGTTTTTATTTGTTAAATTTTATTATATTCATTTTAAAAAATTAGTTAATCAACATCTTCAAAGATATCCAATATTTTTATTTTCAATTTATACGTACGTTTTTATTCATTTTAAAAAATTCGTTAATTAATTAATTTTCAAAGATATCCAATATTTTAATTTTCAATTTATACATACGTTTTTATTTGTTAAATTTTATTACGTTCATTTTAAAAAATTCGTTAATCAACATCTTCAAAGATATCGAATATTTTTATCAATTTTCTTTTAATATAATTTATACACAATGCAATTTTATTGTTTAATAAGATCTTGTGTCGTGAAAATACCGATCATTTTCCTTTTCTTTCTCTCGTTCTATATCTGAAGTATGGCTTTAACGGCACACCCTCGCGAGGTTGGTGCGTGCGTGTCGCGCAAGTATACGAGACAAAAGTCGAAGGAGTCGATTGCGCAAGAAACCGAGGAGGAAGATCTGATATCCGACGTGAACCGGTGTCGTCGGCACTGGCGCTTCAGAAATCGAATCTCGTAGAGAGACCATTTCATTTTTTCCCCCTTTCCTTTCCTCTCCTTCCCTTTCCTTTTTTCGTCGAGCGCGAGGACGCGAGTGGAATAGAGATGTCCTCGGCGTAACGATAAATGGTGCCTCTCTCGCGCATGGAAAAATCAGACGTTACACACGGACGATGATCACGGTTAAAAAGTCGCACGGATAGATCACTTTCCACTTTCGATCGATACGTACAGCGTTCCCACGATCGCTCTCGCTCAACTAGGGCAATCCATGATTCCAAGAAAATTCCATTAAAATTATAACTGTTCACGAATTAGAAAAATTTATAGTTAAAAAAACAATTTGATGGATAAATTCAAATTCAAACAAGTTCTGACAAGGGTATTTATTAATGTAAAAGATAAAATAATTGGTCATGCTTCTGTTTGTGACTATATGAATTTGGGAATTTTTAATTAGATTCAGAAAAATAAAGAATTAATAAAAGTGAAAAAATTACGTAAGTTTGAATAATCGATATGTAAAGATTTCAAAAAAGTATGTTAAAAGTATATTTTGTATTAAAATGTTAATCGGTAAAAAAGTGATAAAATTACTAATAAAAATTCCTAAAAGTTTAAAAATTAACTTGATAAGAGAATTGATAAAGTTCATGGACGAACAATTAATCTAATTAATTCAATAATTATCATAAAATTTATTTAAAAAACTGATTTAAATTTAAAGGAACTAGATGTCTTAAAAATTGTAAGAGAATTTTTATAAATTAAATAAATTAAAAATCTAAATCACAATACGAATTAATTATTTAACGATAAATGTTAATATAAAAACATAAGGAATTAAACTAAAATATATTTACGATTATGATATAAATTATTAATATAATAAAAATAATTAATCGTTAAATTCATTATATATATATAAAATTCAATAATAATTTAAAAATAAAATTCGTGATCGAATTGATCAAAATATTCTTGGTAAAATGGGAACAAAATTTTTCGCATTTCCTCAAATAATTAAACGATAACACATCCCATAACACGCGTCGTTTAAAATGAAAAGTGCAAAGGTCGGATTTATTTCGCACGGTCCGTGCACAGGCAACATTTTCAATTTGGTGTCCGGAGCAGAAAGAGAGAGATTTCAACAGATATTGAACAGGCGCCGACAAGGCGTTTAATGCTTCGGCCGATCTCTCTTCTCGTGATATCGCCTAAAGCTACGCGTCACTTTCGAGGTCTTCTCGGTTCCGGATCGGATCACTATTACTTGATTATTACCTATCTAGCCCGCTCCGATCCTAATTTTTTCCATCCTCTTTCCATCCTTCAAACTTATATATATTGGATTGTTCAGAAAGTAATTTCGTTTTTCACACGAGTTTATCGAACGTTTATCCAACCAACTTCATTCTAAACCGTGTTATTCAGAAAGTAATATCGTTTTTTCACGAATGTCGCTAATCGAACGTTTCTCCAACCAACTTCGTTCTAAACCGTGTTGTTCAGAAAGTAATTTCGTTTTTTCACACGAGTGTCGCTAGTCGAACGTTTATGCAGCCAACTTCGTTCTAAACCGTGTTGTTCAGAAAGTAATTTCTATTTTTCACACGAATGTCGCTAGTCGAACGTTTATGCAGCCAACTTCGTTCTAAACCGTGTTGTCCGAAAAATAATTTCGTTTTTTCACACGAGCGTCGCTAGTCGAACGTTTATTCAGCCAACT